TACACTGTCTTAATATTAAATTACCAAAATAAGAATAATAAGGATTTTTAAAATTTTGTACCAAAATAAATTTTTACCTGCATATGGTAAAAATTTTAATCTGCAGATGTATTTATTTACACATTTACTTCCAGTTACCATGAATTTTGTAAATATTCTATAAATAATACAGTCCCTACTTTGTTTCCATGGAATTTGATGAGTTGTAGGGAATTTCTACTAACTTAACTATAACACATGTAAACAGCTGAATCACTAGAAAAATCATTTTTAACCAAAAATCTATTTAACTACAAATAAAATTCATTAAAAATAAATTTTTATAGTTAAAACTTTCTTTACTACAAAACCTTTTCGCAATAAGAATCAATTCAATTTAGTTTATTCATAAAACAAATTTACTCATAACATCAGTATTGAATATTATAGTAAAAATTTTTTCCACAAAGTACTACCATGTTTCAAGCGAAAACACACGTCATTGATGGTTGCATTTAATCCAAAGTACAGTAATCTTGATTGGTATCGAGACAACCAGACAAGGCACTTAAACCTCATCAGATAACCAGTAAAGTATCTATATATGCTGAACATACCCAAACAAAAAACAAACAAAACAAACAGGTATAGATTCTATTGGATTCGGAGAGATTCTATGTTGGGATTGAATATTATAAAAAGGCAAAGAAAGACTTTAGAACTATAACAGAAATTAAAAATGAATGTCGTGGAAATTTGGAAATGAAAAATTGGAATGTCACTAGATTAGGTTAGAGTGTCTGATTTGTACACTAAAACCAACTTGTGTACAAATAATAGCAAGTTGGGATAAGAACGTTGCTTATACGCCAAACCAAGCAGATCACTAATATAAGAATAGAGACCAAACCGGTCTATGCATAAAACAATGACTAAAAGAACAGGTACGACACTTCCATTCTAATAAAAATGACCCAAACAGACTAATCAATCAGTTACGTTCCTAGTCTTGAAAGATGACAGCGCTGTCAGATTGGTAAAAAAAAGGTACACTTAAGATATTAAACATCTTCTGTAGTGCCACAGTCATGACAAAAGTGATTATATAGTAGACTAAGTCTTAGTTATACGACACCGTAGGTTCCGATTTAGTTGAAGCAAGTGACTACTGCTATTATTTTCCAAATTGAACCAAATAATGCTTGTTAGTCTAACACAAATCTTAAACTACCCAGGCTATTTTAGCAACTCCTAAATATTTTTATTTAATAGACAGCTTAACCGTTGCAAGTGGGATATCAGTATTCGGGAAGTGAGCTTCAGAGAGTAGCGTGGTTTAGTTAAAGCAACTAACTACTATCATTCTTTTCTAAATTAAAGCAAATAAGTCATGTTATCCTAAAACACGAATCTATTCTACCCAGACAATTTCAACTATTACTAAACGTTTTTGTTAGATAGTCAGCTTAACTGTTACGAGTGGGATATATAATATCTTGGAAATAAGTTTAAGAGAATAGGTTGCCAGTAGGTTGGCTAATTCGTGATGTCCTGTATTCAGGTACCCATTTGATTTGGACACTGATAAAGCGATAAAACTCATTGAGAGAAACCGGACATTCTTGAACTGTTAAGTATGTAACTGAAGCGCCTCGTTTGAGATATTTATTGATATTTATTGATATTTATATAATGAATCTTGTTGCTCAGGACACATTTTGCTGCGTATTTAATTGACAATTCATCTACTTGATAAACACTGTTACCTCTTGGTAATCGAATCTAAATACAAACTTTTAATTTTTTTAAAATATACCAGCGCCGAATGTGTCGTCTAATTTAGACCCGCCATTATACATGATAGCCTTAAAAATAAATTAAGAACCGACTTAAATTGAAGCTGAGAAGATACCCTATAATGATACATAACTAAAATAACCGGTGCTGAATTAAGATACGGTTAAATATTGCGGCACAATAAAATTCAAAGTCGGGGTGCTACATTCCCACCATATAATAATAATACAATGGTCTTGACACTTAACTAACTTTAATTGTAAATACTTACTATAAATTAGATTCAAAATTACTTTACTAAGATCTACGTTACTTGTTGCTTATAACCTTAATGCCCCTTTTTTATGATTCATACTAATGGCTTAGTGCAACTTATTCACTAATAGCTGAGCACCTACTTACTCTGTCTGATTTTATCTTTTACTTATATTAAGTGAAGATTTAATATCTTTAATGTCGTGTTTTTACACTCAAATCAGTTTTATTTTCGCTAAACTGGATTTAGAAAAACAGCTGATGTGAGAATGGCTCATTGCCAGTAGCGACTAATAAATTTCAAGAACAAGTTTATATAATAAATCACGTTTGTATATATAGGTAGTATGTAGTTTGACTTTGTTGTATGTTTGTTTTGTGTAAACTCTTTGCTAAATTGGCTACTGTAATAAGAATGAATTATTTTATATCTCAACTGCTAAGATTCAAGTACGAGTAAACTTGAGAAGAAAACGAAAAATAAAAATTAAAAATTAACAAAAAAAATGACAAAGTTTCAAACAGTTTGTGTACAAAAGTTATTGCACTGTCTTAGTAAATATAAGCTAATTTTAAGCAGTTAGACAAGTTAAGGATTAACTACTCATTTATGTATAAATTTTCAATAGCCTTGCATTAAAGTTGAATTACAATATCAAATTTATAGGTGTGTATCTAAATCTTCTTCAATTCAAAGAAAATTTGTGGTATTACCGTATTCTCTCTCTATATTCTATATATATATATATTTATATATGCGTGTGTGTGTATGTAAGAAATTTTAGTATTCATGAAATTTCAATTTGCCCTAAGAAAGCAATGTATACCCAACGTTCTCTCTACATCTGACTATTCCAAATTTGGCAAAATGAAGGTAATATGTGTTTTACTCGTACTATATCCAATTACAATTTTAGAAGAATAAAGTAACAATAACAACAACTAAGAATATAAAGTGGGATTAAACAGACATATATAAATACATATCTATATATATATATATATTATTATGTATTAAGATACATGAAACAAAAAGAATGTAACGCAATGTATGCAGTAATCTTCTCAAGCTTTTGTTCTTGGCATGTTTCTTAAAGTAATTCAATTGGCAATTTTTGTATTTGTTAGTAAAAGACGATTTTTAAGGTAATCTTGGCATAGATACAAATTCAAGTACAATAGGGTTTAGCTATTAAATAAGCGACAGCAATATCGTGATACTAACTACTCAACTGTTCATTGCAGCGAAAAAACCATTACTGAGAACGAATTCACTTATTTACCAATAATTTTGCAATTTCACAACCACTAAACTTTTAAACATTTTTTTTATTTTATTTTATTATTAGCTTTTTATATAGCTTATACACATACTACTTACGTACAAGAACATGGTTAACATTTCGCATCAACCACGTCATAGCTAATCTTAACCAAACTATCTATCATTAGCGCTACATTTTACTATAAGCAGTTTAAATTATACTATATTATTATATTATATACTATATATATAACATATTATATTAAATTATATGTATTAATATATTTATATTATATTAAATTATATATTAAAAACCAAACTATATATCATTAGTGCTACATTTTATTGTGTGCAGTTTAAATTATACTATAATATAATTATATATATATATATAAATTATATTAAATTGTATATTAAAAACCTTGCAGAAAAAAAATATATAATATATTATATAAATTGTACTTTAAAAAATTTTATTTTATATAAATATATATATATATAATTATCTATATATAATAATATATAATATATTATATATAATATATATATATATATAAATATATATATAATATATATTAATAGTAAAACTTTATATATATTTTATGTATATAATTCAATAGCTGTACAGTAATAACTTCATGAACTCGTTTAACTTGAATACTCTATACTCTTGTATATTGGACGTACTCCTAAACCTATAAAGCATTTATAACTAAAAAATAGTGAAATAATATAACCTAATACAACAAATAGTAAGGGATAGAAGGGATAGAATTCGATAATTCCAGCTTCAGAGAAAAGAGAAAGGATGTAAAGAGAAAAGATAATTATGAGTAGACATACTAAGCAGTAAGGCATCTAAAATAAGTGTGGATATATATGTTTGAAGTTGTGGATAATAAAGTAGAAGCTCAAATGTTTGATATAATATATGCTTGATATTTCTAAGATCTGTTA